AAATCACAGGATACTCCAAAGGGTGAGGTATATAGTGTGACCTATGAGAAGGTCCATTATTCTCCCAAGGAACTTCTTGAGTTTTTTAATTTTTATAAGCAGAGGCCTGATGAGCATGTGTGAGATACGGGTGGAAAATCATATACTGGATGAGGCTGTTTGTTGATACGGGCCAGGTAAGCAGTGATTCTGAATTGAGTGTTGCAGTTCATGGAGTAAAGAAAGGTTTTAATAGTTTATCTTGCTGGTTGGCAGAAGTATGGATCAAAATGTAGTCCACTGTGAAACAGAGATATGTCACATTTCATGATTTACTGTTGATGAATGGAATCAGATATTTAGGAAAATGGTAATGTTGGAATGGATTTGTCATGTGAATCCTAATCCGCCACACTGGAATGTTCCAGAGAATGTACCCTTCAGTAAAACCTTGATAAATGGATTCATGAGGGGAGCACCAGCATCCCTGAAGAGCCCTGTCATTGCTTTCCCTCTTTTGCTAGACCTTACTGTGGGGACCATAGATGCTCAATTGGGAAACTTTAGAGCAATGGGTTTGATTGGATCCCACAGAGGAAGAGTTTAATTGGCATCACTTAATCACCAAAAGCAAAGTGCACACACTTGCCAAAATAGAAGCTGAAGCAGAACAATGATCAGAAGTCTGACACCTATGGTGTTTGCTGATTATTATGGTGTTCCCAAAAGTGAAATAGATGGGAAGCTTACAAAATTTTTACTAGATTTATAAAACCAAAAATCAGTAAGGGTAAATGAATAGAAACTTACTTCAAATCATAGTAATAGGGAATCAAGGGTCCTCAACCAGTTCTTAGATTTGAGCCAGCTTACAGACACAGAATGCCTTAAGTAAAGGAAAGACCAGGTCTAATTTAGGGAGGACCTGGTGCACCACCAAAATTTATATGGTTGACCTTTCACCCTTCCCCAAAAAGACTTAAGACCTTTTACCAGCATAACTGTACACTGAGAGAGGGAAAATAATAAGACATTTGAAGAATCACAGTGTACTGATTCTGAACTCAAATGGATTCCAGAAGATCTAAAAAAATCACTGTGGCTCTCTAGTAAGTGTAGATGCCTATGGAGTTCAGGTGATCAATGGAGTTTTAGCAAAAGTTGAACTCACTATTTGTCTAGTAGGTCCTTGAATTTTTTCTGTTTTTATTTCCTCTGTTTCAGAATGGGCAGTTGGGATAGATGTACTATTTGGCAGAACCCTCACATTAGTTCTTTAAGCTATAGTGTGAGAACTGGTATAACTGGAAAGGGCAAATGGAAGCCATTAGAGTTGTCTTTGCTGGGAAAAACAGTAAATGTTTGTTTCTCCTGTACTACTCTCTTTAAAATAAAATTTAAAAAATTAAAAAAATAAAAATAAAATAAAAAACAATATTGCTTTCCTGGAGGGGTTGAAGAGATTATTGCCACTATCAAGGACCTGAAGGACACAGGGACGGATGTTCCCACTAATTCTTTTATTGGGCCTGTGCAGAAGATGGATGGAAATTTCAGAATGATGGTGCATTACTATAAGCTGAATCAAGTTGTGTTTCCACCTGAAGGTGCTGTACCAGAAGTGACATCCTTGTTTGAGAAGATACATCTCCCTCTACTTGGTATGCAGCTATTGATTGGGCAAATACCTTCCTTCTCTACACTTATCAGTAAGTCTCATCAGAAACAATTTACTTTCAATGGGCAAGGCCAGAAATACACTCTCATTTGCCTACCTTAGGATTATATTAACTTTCCAGCTCTGTGTCACAGCTTAGTTTGCAGGGATCTTGATCACCTTTCTCTTTCACAAGGCAGCACACTGGTTCATTCATTGATAATATTACGGTGATTCAAACAAGTGAGGAGGAGGTAGCAACCAGTCTGGATTTGGGCAGTGCACCTAGTAGTACATTTGTCCTGGTAGGAAAAAAGGCCAGATATGTGACTTTACAGTGATTCATGGGTTGTAGTCAATGGTCTACTTGGGTGTTCAAGAACTTAAGAGAAATATAACTGGAGAACCAGTGACAGAGATATTTGGGGATGAGATATGCAAATAGACCTATGTATATGGGCAAAGGATGCACAAATATTTGCATCCCATATGAACACACACCGAAAAGTGACCTCAGAAGTTTAACAATGAAGTTGATAAGACAACCCATTCTGTAGATAGTAGCTATCTTTTCTCTTTAGCCACCTCTGTGACTGCCCAATAAGTTCATGAACACTGTGGCCATGTTAGTGGGGATGGCTTTTATGTATACTCAGCAGCATGGACTCCCAGTCAACAAGCCTGATCTGACAATAGTCACTACAGAATGCCCAATATGCCAGCAGCAGAGACCAACATTGATCACTGTCTTGATTACTTTTCTCTCATTGCTGAGACAAAATACCTGATACCTAGAACTAGAGAAGAAAAAGTTTATTTAGCTTACAGTTTGTGGAAGTTTCGGTCTACAACCAGCTGGCTCCAAGGCAGAGTGGCACATCACAGAGGGCAACAGTTCATGGCAGCGGAAAGTAGCAAAAGCAATAAGAGTAAAGGGAGGAGTGGCAGAGAGCAAGGCTCTTTCCCTCCCTTACATTGCATGCAAACTATCTGCCCCAGGGCATGTGTAGCACTCACATCCATAACTCGAACGTTGGACCATGGATCAATCATAAACTCTAGAAGCCTGTTCCATGACTGCATGAGAATTTTCAGGGACATCCACAACCAAACCATAACAATTCCCAGATATAGCAGCATTCCCTGGGGTGATCAGCCTTCTCCTGGTGGTAGGTGGGTTATAGACCACTTCCATCTTAAAAAGGAGTGTACTTTGTCTTTACTGGAATAGTTATCCTGGATATGGATTTAACTTTCCTGTATGTAATCCTTCTGCCAAAACACCCATCCATGGATTTATACAATGCCTTACCCATCATTGTGGAATTCCACCCAGGTCTAGCTCTCACCTCAAGAAAACATTTGGTGGCCTAAGAAGTGAGGTGATAGCCTCATGCTCATGGAATTCACTGGTCTTGCCTTGTTCCTTACCATCCAGAAGCAGCTGGATTCATAGAAAGTTGAAATGGACTTTTCAAGATACAAAGCAACTGTTAGGTGGCAATAGCTTCCAGGGCTGGGGCAAGGTTTTTCAAAAGGCAGTTTATGATTTGAGTCAGCATCCACTACATGGTACTGTGTCTCCCATAGCCAGGTTTCACGGGCCCATGATTGAAGGTGTGGAAGTAAGTGGTACCACTCAAAATTACCTATAGTGATCCACAAGCAAAAATTTGCACCCTGTTCTCATGACCTTATGTTCTGCTGGCTTAGAAAGAAATCTTAGTTTCAGATGGGGGAAGGCTTGTAGCAGGAAGCACAATATTTTTAAACTGGAAGTGAAGACTTTCCTTTGGTCATTTTTTTTGGTACTGGGACTTGAACTCAGGACCTTGCACTTGCCAGGCAGGTGCTTATGCCACTAAGCTATATCCCTGGCCCCACCCTTGGTCATTTTCATCTCAAGACTCTGAGGAAACAAATCAAAAAGATATAGTGTTGAGAGAGGTGACTGACATACTATCAAGGGAAAATTATACTACTGCTCCACAATGAAGCAAGCATATATTTGGTGTGCAGAAGATCCCTTAGGGGGCTTCCTACTATTACCATGTCATTATTAAAGTCAATGTAAACTGTAACAATCCAACCCAGGCAGAATGTCAAGTGGCCCATAACCTTCAGGAATGAAGGTATGGGTCACCACACGAGGGAAAGAACGAAGATCTGCTGAGATGCTAGGTGAAGGCCAAGGGACTGCAGAATGAGTAGCATAAGATAGTTCTAAATACCAGCTATGACCTTGTGATCAGGTACAGAAATGTAATTGTAATTTTTTTTTCTAATATGCTTCCAATTAATACAGTGATAGATTAATATTGGTTAAGTCTTGTTAAATGTAAGTTATAGTGTCATGAAGTGTTTGGAGTAAGCATCACCGACAGAAAAACTTCCCTTCTATTCTTGGGAGTGAATTAATGTGAATTAATTAATTTCTATACAGACAGTTACAACAGGTTAAGTGTAATTCTGAACTCATCTTTGTATCTGGAAGAAATACTCATGGTTGTAAAGCTGTCAAGGGGTGGATTGTGATAGTTAACTGATTATGTCATCTTGAATAAGAAATGCCCTATTAAATTTTCCCAGCTAAGTTCTGGGTGTGGAAAACCTACCCTACAGAGGATTGTGGCCAGAATGTTATGAAAAAGAAACAAAAAGGAAGGCTTACTTCTGTTTCTCTGGAGGTGCTCCTCTATTCACCGTCAGTTTGGAAGTCATCTCCTGGTTTTCAGCACAGACACTTCAGTCTTCCAGTACAGACTCTTCAGCCTCCAGCTCACAGGCTTCTGCCATAGACCCTTTGGAACACTACACTGGACTCCAGGCACAGACTTGCACAGGACACTATAGTGGGCTCAAAGCTTTCAACTGGATTTTTTGGATGTTCAATGCACAGAAGTTTTCAACTCTTCCACATCTGATTGTGTGGGCAGCAACTGTAAGCCCATTTTATAAAATTCTTCTGTATTTGTGTAACTTGCATTAAATGTTTCTCTAGTAAGCATTGACTATTGTGCTATAATATGGGATATCCTGTTACAAAGAAGTCATGGTCCATCTGAGCTGTCACAATCAGAAATTGACAGCAGTATGGGATATGTTTTGTGGAAGTTTTAGTCTACAATTAGCTGGCCCCAAGGCAGAGTGGCACATGGCAGAGGGCAACAGTTCATGGCACCCAATGGTCTACTTGGGTGTTCAAGAACTTAAAGAGGAATACAACTGGAGAACTGGTGACAGAGATATTTGGGGATGAGATATTTGAGGATGGTAAAATCAGTGAACTAGTGGCAGAGATATTTGGGGATGGTAAAATCGCCACAAAGTTAGAAGTCACAACAATATAAGCATGAAAATAAAATGTTGATGGGAAGAAAACAAAATTTTATGTAAATCATAATATTGACCCCAACCTGAAAGTAAAACAGGTGAAATTACATATTTGAAATAATATAACTATGTTGGGATATATTCAAGTATCTTGTTAGGCTGTGAAAAACAAACCATTTGGTAATCTGCAAGTTGTGTGAAAACAATTGAATTTTGTCAAAAGCACACATTCACATGTCTCTAAATATGCACACATATACATATGTAACATCAAATTCAAAATTATCTTTTTTACACAGAATGTGAAGTATATACACCAAGATAATTAAAATCAAAGCTAGTGGGAAATCCCATCAATTAAAATACAATTAATAAAATTTGTCATTTAGTGGTCTATGCCTCCAAATAGTAAAAGAATAAAATCAAAACTACATAAACACTAACCCTATTTGGAAGTAAGAAATACATTTCAATACACCTTGTTTTATTAGAAGATTCTATATGTTAATTTCAAAGATAATGACACACAAAAATATGTCAATACTTTTTATAGTAAAGACTACAGATACATTGTTCAGATATAAATGATTTACTGAAAAAAACAGAAGGGATACATTCTATGATACCTCTGTCTGAGTGTACTTTCTGGAAAATTTAAGAAATATTGTCATCAAATTTTTCATTTAATGTGTACAGGTCACTACATGAGGAATTTTGACAGGATTTTCAAAATAGGCTTACATATATAGGGGGTCACTCTCCAGTGTGACTTCTTTCATGTACTTCATAAAAACTGTGTTCACTGAATGCTTTCCCCACATTCCTTATATCCAAAGGGTTCCTCTCCAGTGTGAGATTTATGTCTATAAAAAGAAGACTCACTAGCAAATCTTTTTCCACATGGCTTACATGCATAAGGTTTCTCATCTGTATGAGTTCTTTCATGTCGTTTACAATATTTGTGTGTAGTGAATGACTTCCCACATTGCTTACACACGTAAGGTTTCTCTGTAGTGTGAATTCTTTCATGTGTCTGACAATATTTGTGTGTAATGAATGCCTTTCCACATTGCTTGCACACATAAGGTTTTTCCCCTGTGTGACTTTTTTCATGTATGTTATAAGAACTTTTTGTAGCAAATGCTTTTCCACATTGCTTGCACACATAAGGTTTCTCCCCAGTGTGAATTCTTTCATGTATTTGACAATATTTGTGTGTAGTGAATGCCTTCCCACACTGCTTGCATACATATGGTTTCTCCCCTTTGTGACTTTCTTCATGTAAGTTATAAGAACTCTTTCTACTGAATGCTTTCCCACACTGGTTACATACATAGGGTTTCTCACCAGTGTGGGTTTGTCTATGTCTACGAAATGCAGATTTATCACCAAATCTTTTTCCACATTGCTTACAATTATAGGGTTTCTCACTAGTGTGAGTTTTTTCATGTTCTTGACAATATCTGTGTGCAATGAATGCTTTCCCACATTGTTTACATACATAGGGTTTCTCCCCAGTGTGATTCCTTTCATGTATTTTATACCAGCTCTGTGAAGTGAATGCTTTTCCACACTGCTTGCACACAAAAGTTTTCTTCCCAGTGTGATTTCTTTCATGCAACTGACAGTAACCTTGTGTAGCGAATGCTTTCCCACACTGTTTACATACATATGGTCTCTCCCCAGTGTGAATTCTTTCATGGCTTTGACAGTAACTGTGTGTGCTGAATGCTTTCCCACACTGCTTACACACATAGGGTTTCTCCCCAGTATGAATTCTTTCATGCATTTTACAGTTACTCTGTATTGTGAATGCTTTTCCACATTGCTTACATGCATAGGGTTTCTCCCCAGTGTGAATTCTTTCATGTATTTTACAGTAACTCTGTGTAGTAAATGCTTTCCCACATTGCTTACATACATAGGGTTTTTCACCAGTATGGGTTCGTTTATGTCTATTAAATGCAGAGGTATCAGCGTATCTTTTTCCACATTGCATACATACATAGGGTTTCTCCCAAATGTGAAATTTTTCATGAATTATACGACAACTCTGCGTATTGAATGTTTTCCCACATTGCTTGCATACATATGCTTTCCTCCCAGTGTGAGTTCTTTCATGGTTTTCAATACCATTGGGAGTATTGAAGACTTCCACTCTTTTATAACCTACAATAGTCTTCCCTCCAGGGTGAGTTCTTTCACTAAGATCAGAGTACGTTTTCCCACATTGCTCATATTGATTGGGTTTCTCTCCAGTCTTTGTCCTTGCATGCTTCTGAAGGGACTGGTAATCACTGCAGGATTTTCCATAGTCATTACAGTTACTCAGCTTGTCATCAAATCCCACATACTCACGTGGCTTCAGTCCAGTAAGAGGTAGAATGGGCACATTTAGTGATAAATGCCCAATCAGGGGCTTTCTATAAGCAAGGCTTTCAGGTAGCTTTAAAGCAGCTTGTTGCATGTTCACATTAGCATCTGGTGTCCAAAGGAATATTTTCTTATGTTGATTCCAAGCTTTATATTGATAGAATTTTAATACCTCTTCATTTCTGTAAAGAAAAAAAGAACAGAAATATCAATCACAACGAAAAGGTCTTCATACCAATAATTCACCAGGACAAGTTCTGGATTGATGCCTGCTAAGAAATCTTGAGGGTAAATAGTCTGAATTCCCTTAAGGATGCCTCTAAAACACCCATTCCCCATAAGATGGTATTCATTTGGGAATTTTAAATTGATAGATGTTTGTAATATAAGGTCTAATTTCATTTAGGTCATTGATACATATGCATGTAACATACTGATCATTTCTGACACCTTTCCCCCCATCACTCTCCTCTTTTTTCCTTACTCTAATCATCATTGCCATCTCCAACAAGTCAGCCTTTCTGTTCTCTATCACTTCTCCTTAATTATATTCCCTAATTTATATTTTCTATCTCATATAAAAGAGAAAATATGATAATTCACTTCGTGCATCTGACTTGTTTCATTAACATTACAGATTAATGTTAATCATTAACATTATTTCCCATCTCATTCTTTTTTATTTTCCAAAATATATGGTATTATTCTTCTTTATGGCTGAATATATAGCACTTTTTTTTTTCAGTGCTGAGAATTAAACAAGGATCTTAATACTAAATTACATTTCCAGTTTATTTATTTCTTATTTTGAGAGAGATTCTCATTGATCATTCATTTGGTCAAGGTGAACTTCATGTTGTCATCCTGCTGGCTCAGTTTACCAGAGTGCTGGGATTATAAGAAGCCACCAACCTGTTGGGCTTATCCCACATTCTCTACCTATGCATAAAATGATGGGCATCTAGACTTTTACCAGAGATTAGGTATTGTTAATTATTTCCAGAAATTAGCTACTGTGAATAGCCATGCATATGCTGCTCTGAGATGAGTACACAATGCATCACTAAGATATAATTTTAAATCCTTTTAAAATAGGGAAACATAGGGAAGTTTGCCTGGATCAAATGCATCCACATACTGATTATCAAAATAGCCCTATTTTATGCTCTTACCAAGAACATATGAGGTGCCTTCCAAGAATTTTAAAATATAAATACACCCAATTCTCTAGAGGGTTTTTTCAAAACATCTATTATTACAATACTTTTGTAATAATTCCTTTCATTTTGAATTCTGCTTTCATGCTAGCAACTTTTTAGATAATGTATATCTCATATTCATAGACACATATATAAACAGCTATCTTGAAGATGACTTCCTGCCAAAGTTCCAAATTTATTCTTTTCATATATGCCTATATACAACACCTAAATGCAATTTCATACATTTTCATGATGTTGATTATGAAAAATAAATTATACTGATGTATGAGGCAGTGTCTCTTGTTGCACATCACTACTTAAGTGTCCCACACTGGAGTATTTCTGTATTCAATTGTCAGATTATATAAAATCAGCTTATATGCATATCAGGAGAATTTCTGTGAAATAAATAAATTCGAACATAGTCTCATTTGAAGAGTTTCCTTGGTTCTAGTATTTCTGCTCACACACTGACACTTGGGGAATATTCCTTTTCCTTATGAATGCAAATTACCTTAGATTTCTTGAGCTACTTTTGTGTTCTTCTTCAATTTGCTGGTTGTCCCAGGTACCTCCTGAATTGTAGCCATAGAAATAGAAAGTCACTATATCATACAAAAATTTCAGGTTAGCAGTTAGATTCATGGTATAATGTAAACAGACTTGAGATATTCTTCAAAATGTTTTCACATTCTATTTAATGAATCTGTACCAATCAGCAAGAACCAATGCTCTCTCATTACATAAATGAGAAAATGATGTCATCTTTACCTATAGCAGTCATATTCATAAATGTTTCCCACGTCACATCTCTGTAGAGCTTCTTTTGAGATGGATTCAGCACGGCCCACTCCTCCATGGTGAAGTTCACAAGTACATCCTCCAAGGTCACTGCCTCCTAAATAATCACATATATATTTCCTGAAAGAAGGTTGAGACTCACACCCTGACATAACTGAACTACTCTTATAAAAGCTGAATTGAGGTTGATTCCTTCAAATATAAATTCTGTATCTTGGTCACCAAACTCATGTGTATGCACATTATTTTCACACAGCAATTCTGATGCTGGATTCTAACTCACTACTATAGCAACAACAGAATAGTAACACTGCTTGCCTGGCAGGGTCACAGAAATTCTATTGGTTTAGTTTCCAAATTAGCGCTCATAGAGGCAACCAGCCTGTAAATCACCCACAAAGCACAGAGGCAGATAAAAAATCTAATGAATGATTCTGATAGACTACAGATGATACCTCTTTACAAATCTATTATTCATACAATTAAGTCATTTTTTCTTTGATGGTCTCAGGACTAATATCTAGACTATAGAAAGAAATTTAAAAATTAGGTGCTGTGCATGGTGGCAAAGCCTATAATGCCAACACTAGGGAGGCTAAGGCAGGAGAATCATTGTGAGTTCAAGACCAGCCTGGGCTACATAGTGAGCTCAAGGCCAGTTTGAACAGCACAGTGAGACCCTGTCTCAAAAAGACAAAAAAAAAAAAAAAAAATTCAATTACAAGTTTTAAATGATACATCTCAAATGAAAAGCCTGATTCACTATTAAGGAATCAGTTTAAAAATTATAGTATAAATTATATGAATTGATAAAGACAAAACACAAGAACAAAACAATAGGAAGAGATTAAGATGGAATACAGAAAATGGTCTTCACTTGCATGTAACATCAAAATATATGTTGGAAAAATTAAATTGTCAAGAAGAAATTAATAGAATTATTAAGATACTGTACCAGAGAGTACATCTCTAGCTAAAAATACACACATTTTCTAGTAAATATGTATCAGATATAATCACGTGAATTGTAAATTGTAAACATTCACCATATGAAACCCCCTATGACACATCTTCACACATGTTAAAACCACAAATGAAAGCACTGTAATAAATACAACATAAAATCATAAAATCGTATCTACATAGTGGCAAAGTACAATAAAGCACATATCTATAAAGAACATTATCTGAAAAATTCATATGTGAACATTTAAGCAAATTTTGAGTGTTTTGTCATTTGCAGACCCATATTTTTTCTTACTCTATCAAAAATTCTAATTCAGGGGGCTGGGGATTTAGCTCAGCGGCAAAGCGCCTG